TTAATTCTAAAAATATCCGTAAAAAGCCCTTGCCAGTTTGGCTCAGTTGGTTGGAGCATCATCCCATGCAATGAAAGGTTGCTGGTTGGATTCCTGGTCCAGGGCACATGCCTTGGTTGTGGGTTCAATCCCCTGTGGGGGCGAGTACAGGAAACAACTGATCAATGTCTGTCTGTCTCTGTTTCTCTCTCCTCTCTTTCCCTCTCGCTCTTTCTGCCTCTCCCCTTTCCCCTCTCTGAAAAAAAAAAATCAGTAAAAACATATCCTCAGGTGAAAATTTTAAAAAACACACAAATAAAAATATCTGTGCACTCACTGCACAGCATATTTAACTAGCATTTCCCTTTTGCTGCATTTCACAAGTATATTAACACTAACTTTAGAGCAAAGAAACAGAAGATCTAGTGGAAGAAATTTAGGATTATTTGAAGTTTGCGCTAATCTGGGGGCAGTGGGTCATCACTGAGTTGGACTGGCTCTGAGAAAGGCATGTAGCTTGACCTCGCATATTCCTCAGACTCTGGGGAAGTCCTGGCCTGTGAGCTTATTACCACAGACAACACAACGGGACAGAATCCATGCAGTGTATTCACAGCTTATTTGGGAATTCGTGGAGCCTTGTTCATTGCATTCTACATATGGAAAATTCGCTTTCAAGTGACAGCAAGAGCTTACATTAACATTTTAAAAAAGTTGTCATTTGTAAGAATGAGTATTTATTAAGGACTAAGCTCTTTTCAGTACCTGCTTACTGCCAGTTGCTGAAGAAATTGTGTCCAGAGCCTCAAGATGCCCTCAGGCCAGAAGGGCAAAAGATGTGTTTATAACTAATTATTCTGTAATGTGATAAGCTCTGTGATTCAGAATGAATATAATCATGTAAAATCTCCAAGAAGGAAGGGATTGTGAAACTTAGACACGTGTGAAATCTGAGGGAGTAAAATGTGAGCTAGGTTTTAGAGGATGAGTAGTTTTTAGGGAAGAGATGGAAAGAAGGCATTCTAGATCAGACTAGTGGGTATAAAGGACTTGTGAAAGAAAATGTTTGGAAATGCCAGGTGGGCCAGTGTGGAGGGGCCTAATGGGGACTGAGGCTTGTAGAAATCACGCCTGATTCTCTGTGCAACGTGGAGGGTAGAAGATGTGGTACCTGGCTCTGAGAGGACCAGTCAGTCATTCACAGGTGGTAGTCACAGGCAGGGCAAGATGCTTTGCTGGCAGTGTTGGAAATACTAAGAAAAGAAAGATCTCATTGATTAGGAAGCTCAGACCCTTAAGTTCAAAGGGAATTAGGAAGGGAGAGGGCAGCGTGGCTGTGCTAATAGCAGCCACGAGTATATGGAACTTTGGTGTGACTGCACGACTGCTTTTGTTTCTCTGTGATGTGATGTGGGAGAGGGTGAGACAAAGCCCCCTCCATCACTAAAGTAGGAGTAACTGATGAGAATGCAAATATTTTATGTCTTGACTCATTTTTATAAAAGTGATTTCAGATTTGGAAAGCAGAGATTACCATCGACTAGTTTTAAAAATTACTACTTTTTAAAGCTGGAGACTGGAAATTTGCCTTGAAATTTTAAAAATGTGTATTATAAGAGCTCTTTAAGAGGTGTTATTTATTATAAAAGACCCAGAGATGTTTATTAAATTTGTCTTTAAAACTAGTTTCACTTCTACAGCATCAACCACTTATCAAATCAGCATAGAGCTCTCATTAAGAGACTCTTGCTGTCCGTTAGGTTTATATACGTAATAATTCTTTGGAGCATTCACTTCTTTGTTCAGCATTTCTTGAGCAATTACTGTGGTGGAATTAAAGACATGATCTCTAACCTCAAAAAGTCCTTAATCTTTGGGTCTTCCTCAAAATCACAGTTGTGTTATTTACGGTTTTCTTTTTGCTGCTAACTTCTCCATTTGAGCCTTGACACTCTTACATGAATTACTTTTCTTCCCTCCACTCTTGTCCTTCTTCAAGTCAGTCCTTTCTACCACTCCTCGAGCAATTTTCTACAACACAAATTGAATTATGAACTTTCCCAGATGAAAGTCTTTTCATTGGCTTCCACTGTCCATGACACGAAGCCCCTGTGCCTGGTACACAGTCCTTATGATCTGGCTTCATCAGGGGTGTTTGCAGTGAGGTCCTGCCTTAGTCTCCTCACCCCTTCATTCAGCCCAGCTGAACCTCCTGCCATTTCTTCTGTCCAGAATGCCTGTCTCCTTTGTTTCCTCCTCAGGATGGTGTGGCACTTCCCTTTTATGGGTGGATTCACATTGTTAATTCCAGAACTATCCTGATGGCCCTAGAAAGTGATTCCTTCTATTGTGTTTCCATAACTTAAGTCTGTTCTATAACAGACACTGTTTTACAGTGATTATATCAGTCCCTCCCACTACACTCTAGCTCCTTGAGGACAGGGAGTAACTACCTTTATTATTATTTTTACATTTCAGTATCCATAGTCTGTAGCCCACTGATTTTTAGTTTTAGGTGCCCTCAAAACTCTTTAGAGAGACTGAGAGGTATGAGTGGGCCTTTTCTTTCCACCTCCTAAATTGAGTTTTTTCGTAATCCTAACGATGAAAAAACAGTGAACACTCAGGTATCATTTGAATCTCAACTGTTTTATCTATTTTGTTAGTCATTTAGATTATTAGTCTTAGATCACAAACACCACAGATCAGACCCTAGAGTGCCATGTAATGGCAAAGCTACATTACTCTAGAATACTCATCTGCTGGGACAACCCTGCTTCAAAGGCAGGCTGGCCAGATGACTGACTGCGAGGTTTATTGCTTGTAGAATTTCCATACCTTTAAAGATACTTTGTCATTTGTATATGGAGGTGATCATGCGTTAGCTTTTTTTTTTTTTTTTTTTTAGGGCACAAAGTTTTCTTTAATTATTTTTTTGGGGGAAGGGATACCACACTTCTACCCAATTAAGAGAAACATTTTTATCAGTATAGAGGTCTTTTTTTTTTTTTTTTTTTACACTTATCATGCCATGAATTCATAGGGAATGGGTTCCAGCAGCTCAGGCTCCTTTCCATTGGTTCTCACAAAGTGTGCTTCTCTGGGTGGAGCAGGCTGACGCTTCAGTTGAACCCAGGTACCTTTCTCTTTGGCTTTCTTCTTTTTCTGATCATTTTCCTTCACACGTTTCAGGAAGCTATCTCGGCTCTTAGAGTGCTTAATATGCTCGATGCGTACATTAATTCTCTTGGCAAGAATCTTGCCCTTGACTTGTTTGTTCACAACAATGCCCACTGCATGCTGGGTGACATTGTAGACTCTTCCAGTTTTGCCATGGTAACATTTGTGGGGCATTCCTTTTTGAACAGTGCCCATTCCCTTGATGCCTACAATATCACCTTTCTTGTAGATGCGCATGTATGTGGCCAAAGGAACAACTCCATGTTTTCTAAAAGGTCTAGAGAACATATAGCGGGTGCCTCTCCTCTTTCCCTTTGTGTTGGTCATTTTGGCTAATTACTGGCAGATGGCGGTTCCGGCCAAAAGGACCTGAATGCTTTAAAAGACAATTGAGAGTCTCTTTTTCAACAGAGACATAGTATAATTGTATAATACGAAATTTAATACTTTGAAATCTCTCTTGATTGAACCTCCTTTTAGGTAAGAACTCAGGGCCCTATCCTCACAGCAAGTGGCAAAAATCCTGTAATGGAGCTCAATGAAAAAAGAAGAGGTCTTAAGTATGAACTCATCTCGGAGACTGGTGGAAGCCATGACAAGCGCTTTGTGATGGAGGTGTGTATCTAGATACCAGCCAACCGTATTTCCCCTCAGAGACAGGACAGCCTGAGCTCATACGTAAAGAAGTTTTTGACAGAGTCGATTCTTATGGCGCTGTTTGACTTTTGGTGTTTTCTGTGTTATGATCCATTGTTAAACTACATAGAGGAATCGCAGGGGTAACCGCAGTGTTGTTCCTGATTTTAGGTAGAAGTAGACGGACAGAAATTCAGAGGTGCAGGTCCAAATAAGAAAGTGGCAAAGGCGAGTGCAGCGTTAGCTGCCCTGGAGAAGCTGTTTTCTGGACCCAATGCAGCAAATAATAAGAAAAAGAAGATTATCCCTCAGGTATGAGTTGAGCATTAACCCTTTGTAATCCCTTTGAAAAATGTTACCAGAATTAAGTTTCCTTTTCTGTTTTTGTGCCACTTTAGCTTTTTCTAAAATTGTTTTTCTTGGATTTAGCAACATTTACTCTGGGTTAGGTCATTAATAGTATAAATGTGTCTGATTTCCTGTTCTGTGGTTGTTCTAGGCGAATTATATATTAAAAAGAGATTGTTGGCATCATTTGGGGGCTTCAGGTCCCTCTTGATGAGGTAGAGTGTTGAGAAATTTGGACTTGAATGAGGTGTTAGCATTTGCCTGGTTTAGGGAAGCTGCTAAGAGGACTTGGGCTTACTTTCATCAGTCTGTAGATGCTCTTCCATTTCCTGTCCAGTTTTGAACTTTTGCAGTATTTTGGGTTTTCTGTTGGGGGTGGCACAGTAGAACTTGACCCTGTGTTGCTTCTTCTGTGATTGGGAATGTCAGTGCTGCTAAAGTTACTTGGAAAAGTTGGCCTCCTGATTCTGTGTTTTTGGATAACAGATTATTCTAACCATTTTTTAAATGCATTCAAAAATATTTTCTAGACATATGCCACATGCATGGTTGTGAGGGGAAGAGATACAGAAATAAATACAAGACACATTCTCTCCTTCATGGAGAGTACTTGTGTAATAATGTCTCACTATATTATTGTGTGATAGAAAAAAAGCAGTTAAAATATTTAGATTGATAGAAGGAAGCTTAGATTATTTAAGATTTTGTGTTAGACAGTTTCTTTTATTTATGCTAACTCTATTGTAGGAGGGTAGAATTGATCTTATTTTATCGATGAGGAAACAAGGTCCCCCCAAATTAAGGAACTGCATGTGGTAACATAGCTAGCTGATTGATGGCAGAGGTTCCCTTTAAAACCAGGGCCTTCTCCTTCCAAAGACATGGGCATTCTACTATTGCATGTTATATCCATCTTAGAAACTTGCTTTGTGTTCAACTTCTTTTATTTACTATAATAAACTGCTTAAATTTTAGGATTCAAAATATAAGTAAAAGTAACTTTTACTGAGATTAAATAAAAATAAAGTTTAAATTACAGAGGAAGACGTGTAGAAAGCATAAGCGTAGAAAGAAATTTCTTTTCCTAAATCTTCTAGAATATGTTCTAAATTAGGAGAAAAATCATTGTTACCTTGTTTATTTTGGTGTATTTTCCTATGAGTTACATCTTGTAATTGGCCAGTTCATTTTTGTGTTTAAAAAGCCTATGTGCAAAGGCTTATTAGGTAGTTAAGTTTGGTTCTAGTGGGAATGAGCTTGATTTGTGTGAGGTCACTCTGTTACTGCCAGATTGTTGCTTCCTGACTACTTTTGAATAAGCTGTGTTTAAAACAATGTCTGCTTTGAGGTTTACTCATTTTTAGAAAATTTCCATACTAGTAGCTATAAAACTCCTGTGTTCGATATGCTTGACAGCCAAGAAGCAGTCTGTTTTGGATGTGTGGGTTGATTTTTTTCAGCCAGAAAGAAAAATGGCGGTTCTCTGTGCATAATATATTCAACCTTGAAACTGCCTTCTGCCCATTCCCACTAGCAGGAGAGGCTGACCTAGGAGGAGCAGAGGGTGATGGTATTTCCATGTGAGATAAACGTGTGCACTCTGAGATACTGTTAACTTGATTGTACAGTGAGCTTTGAGGCTCTGCCTCCTTCCCTGTATGTTGTTTTATAGTAGGGAATATTAGTAGTTTCTAGCTTGAGTTTTTGTTGCATCTTTTCATTAAAAAGTAAGTATAATATTTAATTTAAAACTAGATATCCTTTGCTTTTCTTAGAATTTTAGTTTTGGAAAGGGATGTTTAGCAGCTCTGTGTGCTGTTACTCTTTGATTCATTGGACTTTTCGGAGTTTTATATCTGTATTCCACATTGCTTTTTCTGTGCTGAAGTAGGCAAGCAAAGCAGGTATCATTAGCCTCCTTTCATAGTAACTGGGGAGACTCCCCTAGAGAGAGGTTGTGGGACTGCACCAGACTCCGTGGCCTTTTAGAGCAACAGGGGACCTCAGAGTTGGTATTTATTTATTCACTTAATGATACCCCCCTGCAGAAGAAACAGGCTCAAGGAAATCACATGACTTTCCTGAGGTCTTGATAACTTAGAGCAGAAACTGGCATCCGCATCTTTTGTCTCCCGGGCTGAGTCCTCTTTTACAGAAACCCCATTCAGGTTCCCTGCTTGTTCAGTTGGCTTTGTTGTTGCAGTATTTTTTGTCTGTAGCCAGAGAAGTCAATGGATTTTGATCAAGTGTCTATAATTAGTCAGGCCTCAATTGACTTTGGATATAATTTGATACTGAAATTTGTATGTAGGAAATGCACTCTTTTTGGGTAACCCTCAAGTGAAAGGAAGTTATTTGCATACTTTATGTGCTCAGCATATTCTCCAGAACAACTCTGTAAGGTAGCCGTCATTTTTATTCTGCAGGTGATAAAGTGAAGGTTTAAGGTCATAGATGACGCGCTGTCTCATCTACAGGCTCAAGTTTCCCATTAGAGGTTGTACATTACAGAGACGATAGGATGATAGTTCTTATTTCTCTCAGTAATGAAAATGTGTTATATTTTCAACAGGCAAAGGGTATTGTGAATACAGCTGTGTCTGCAGCAGTCCAGGCTGTTCGGGGCAGAGGAAGAGGAACTCTAACAAGGGGAGCTTTTGTTGGGGCTGCAGCTGCTCCTGGCTACATAGCTCCAGGTACAGTACAATCCGTAACAGATCTGCCTCCTTTTCTGCGCCAAAGTTTAAGGAACAGTGTCTCCTTTATTTTCCAGGGCTATACACAATCTCTGGAAACATAACACGGGTATAGGATGGGTGGGCACAAAAATTGAAAGGAAGAGAATCTACAGAACGTCTTGGGTTTTCTCACGGAATCCACTGAGTGACTAGAGGCTTTCTGGAGGGAAGTGACAGATGAGCAGTGTTGCACGTGGTTAAAGGGACGTGTTTTGACAATGAGGAAGCTAAAGACTGTTCCACAGATTGAGGAGCAGAATGTGTTCAGTGGGGACACAGAATCACTGTTACAGGCTGAGGTGATTTGCTGAAGGAGGACATGATGCTATGCGAGGATATAACAGAGAAACCTCATCTAGCCTGCTGGCTCCCTGAAGGCTTCCCTGAAGAAGTAACACTTGAACTGAGCTTTGAAGTGCAAGTAGGAGCTAACTTGGGGAAGAGTGGGGGGTGGAAGAGAGTTTCACACAGAGGGAAGAGCCTGTACAGAGACCTTGTGGTGCTGGTGGTAGGGAGCTTGGCTCATTTGAAGACTTCGAAGGCCAGAATGCAATGTGGAGATTCCCTGGGGTGAGGATAGGGGAGTGAGTCCAGCTAAAGCTGGGTGCTCAGGCCCAGTCCTGGAGGCCATGGCTTAGAATTTGGTCTTAGAATCCTAAGGGATGTCACGAAGGATTCTAAGGAGAGAAGTGACGAGATCAGACTTTGTTTTTCAAGATCAGTCTATAGTGTGAAGAATAGATTGTAGGAACAGAAGTGGGCATGACAAATTAAGGTTTTCGTAAACTAGTAGCCCAGGCAAGAAGCAATGAGGGTGTCTCCAGTGGATGACAGGAAGTGAATAGATTGAAGGTTTCCTCAGAAGCAAAACTGATGGATTTAATATGGAGAATGAAAAAGAGAGAAGTTTCCAGGGTACCTCCTAGGATGTTTAGCTGGAGGGATTAGACTGGGTGATTGTGCCTTTTAAGGAGAGAGAGGGCACTGAAAGATGAGTGTTAGGGTGGGGGGGGGTAGATATAGCTCAATACAGTCTGTGTCCAAAATTAGGACGTTCTTCTGTGCATCTCACTATTTACTGAAATTTAGTAATTTTTTTGCCTTATTTAATGCATTGTTTAAAGGAAGCAGCTTTCACTTAAGAATAGGCAAGTTATTGAGATGAGCTTTCTTGCCTTTGATTACATCTTCTATTGGGGCTTCACCTGCTTGTGTCTGTGGTTGCTTAGTCTTGAACGTTTACCTCCTGCAGCTGTTGTCTAGCGACAGTAAATGTGAAGGGAAGCATTCATGTCTGCTGTTGCCAGGCACATCTGCCCTGTAGCAGCTTCTCTCTTATGTCATCACATTGACGTCATCACACTGACCTCTGTGAAAGGCCTGTCTCCTGAAGCTTTTAAAAATGAAGTTCTTTTACAGCCTAGAGAAGATTCAGATGAGACCGGTTTAGATTATGAATAGACTATATGCCATTTGTGGAGTACTGTATATGCTGTGCAGCAGGGGCTGTAGTTAAGTATTTTTACAAATATTACATTTTTCTGCCAACTAAATTACTACAGAACACTGTGAGGTTCAGAGGGGTTAAAGAACAGGTACTTTTCAAAGTCACCTTGCTAGTGAGAGGTGAAGTCAGGATTAGAGCCCCAATGGCCTGCTCAGTGACCAGCTAAATAATTTAGCTTTCTCTCTCTCTAAGGTGGTTTTGGTAAAACCCTTGAAACTATAGCCTTAGCCAACCAGCCTTTTCCTGGATTTGATCCACAACTCACTTTTTTAAGCATAAATTCCTCTTTTGGCCTCTGATACTGTTCCTACTGCTTATTTCAGGTACATCGTGTTCTCTTAAAATAACTAGTGAGCATCAAACACTAAGAGTAAAATTGAGACTAAGTTATACTACCCCCAGTTTTGTATGACTAAAGTATAGACTTAAAAAGTGAAAAAATTTCATCTTTCAGGAAATGTTTCAATTAGTCCCTAAAAGCAGTTTACTTGTTCAGTGTACATTTGAGTGTTTTGTTTCAAACAAGAAATTTGGAACTGGGCATTCAAAGATGACCGAGACCTAGCATCTGTCTTAGTGAATGCCTGGGGTCAGATGGGGTAGGAACAGACACTTGAGTAAACACCATGCAGTGTGATGCAAGCTGTAACATGAGTGGGCAACGGAGTAACCAGAAAGCCTGGGAGACTTCACAGAGGAGGTGATAGTTGGTCCTGATCTAAATGATGAGTTACAGTTGGTTAGAGAAGGAGGAAAAAAAATTCTGAGCAGGAGAAGTGATACAAAGGGGTTGTAATGTAAAAGAGCTTGCTTTGTTGTGGGTACAATGTGAAGGGTCCATGTATATTTCGTGCCCTTGTTCTATTTTAGAAACCTATTTTTCCTAGAAATTTACCCAAGTGATTTAGTATTTATATTTTTTAAAGTTGTTTTACTGAAAGATTAAAGGTTCCTAATCCCTACAACACTATAAAGTAGCTTGGAAGGTTTCCCATTTTACAGATGAAAAAATGGCAAGTCAGAGATCACATGTCTAAGGACATATGAGAAACTTGTGCCAGAACTAACTGACTCAAAATCTTCTGTGTTCTTTGTATTTGTTTCTATTGGCAATATGAGCCTTTTTTCATAGGTAGCAGATGCTAATGTCAATTTTACTGTTTCCTAAGAGACCCTGTCCTGGGGCCAGGAATTCAGGTAGCAACAAGACATGCCCACAGCCTGACCCATGTGCCCTCTTAAATGGCAGTTGAGGCTCCAGCCTGCTCTGTCACTGCTTTCTGGAAAGAGACTTGAAAAGTTCTGTTTTCCAGCTCTGAGAAATTGGTCATTAGAGTGGTTCTGAGTATTCCTTTGTTCAACAAACTATATTTAGCTCGTGGTTACTATCTGCTAGACATTCTTCTAGGTTCAGGTGTTGCAGAGTGTCTCTGCCTCTCCAGGAACACAGACAAGGAGTCGATAATTATAATACAGTATGGTAAGCACAGTGAGACTGAGACACGATGCTCTTGTAGGTCAGGGGAGCCTTGTAGGCCATGCAGAAATCTTCTCCTCTCAGCACGCCTGAAGGGATTGGTAGACTAGAGCCAACCTGGAATGGTTCTCATTCATCCAGTATCTGGAAGAAGTCCTCGGGGCCCACAGTGCCAGGCCCGGTGGTACTTGTGAATCAGGCCAGTGCCAGCTGCCCTTTGTCCTGGACTGATCTGCTCTCTTCTTCTTTGCACTAGGCTATGGAACACCCTATGGTTACAGCACAGCTGCCCCTGCCTATGGTATGTACACTGTCTTACTGGGTTCTCCTATTAACAACTGTATCACAGCAATCCCAAGCACAGTTTGTATCTAGGGTTTCTTTAAATGAATTGCAGGATCTCAGACCTATTCATTCCAGTGACCCAACTTAAATTCCCTTTGAAAATGCCACAACCTTGTGGTTCTGGGTTTGGTTGGAGTTGCTCTTCTCTCGCTTTGCCTGACTGAAGGACTGCTTGTTCTAATTGCCTGTTTCTGACCATACTGAAATTAAGTATTTTAAGTAGTTCTTACAGCCAACTTATACTCCATTCAAAGGCTACTGAAGGGCCATATGCAGTTTCTAGCTTGGCTGCCTGCCAGTTATGTAGCTACACTTAAGTTTCTGGTTGGAAACTGAACTGCGGGTGATTTATGTTAGGGATAGGAAATGCTCACTTCAAATTCGTAGCCATACCCTTTTCCAGAAATTTTGCTTTAGAGGTGGTGTAAACAGTCCTTGAGAGGTGATGGGGCATCACCAGCAGTGTTCCTTACGTGCTTGCTGCAGAACATCTGTGCACCAGTAAGAAAATCACAGGAGCGTCCTTCTCCCTCTGCAAATAAAACATAAAAGCAAATGCAGAAGTGAACCTCATGGCCCTTTGGATAACTTTTGAATGTGGTTTATGTGGCAATGGAGGCAATAGGTTTGGAGTCAGTGATATGCTCTCTTAGACATTTTCCTAATTTAGGTGCTACATGTTCTAGAATCAGCCATCTGCAGGATGTTTGTCATTGAGAGAAGAAGGGAGCGAACGTGTGTACTCATGAGAGAGCGTGTGTGTGCATGTGTGTGTGTGTCAGTGTGGCCTGGCTGGGCACGAATGTACACAGACGGGGAAGACCCTGGATGTATGGCTGCCTGGGCTTTAGTCCTCTCCATGAACCTCAAGGCCTTTCATTATGCTTTCTCTCTTCATGCATCAACTTTTCCATTTTTGTTTGGATGGAAATCATGGGTCCTTAAGACACTGCTAAATTGAAGCTTCATCTGGTTTCATTACTGTGGAAATGAGTAGAAAGTGAACAGTTTGACCTCTTTCCCCATTAAGATAGACAATTTATATCCTGGAAAGATGTGGAGAAGCTGCAAGGGTCACATATGTGGGGTGAGTTTTCTCCAAGGCAAAGTGCAGAGTCTGAAGTTGAATCCTTTACCTGAAGGTCCCCTCTGGCACACTGGTGGGGTCAAGGCTTCCCCAGATTCCTTTCTTCTCAGATCTTGATGAGCAGGAAGTGGGGGTTCATTCAAGGGTGTGCTTTCACCCAGAATTGCCTCTGAAGTCAAACTGTCCAGCTCCTTTTTGATTCTGGATGTCCTGACTACCGCCTCCTTCCTGTGAGTCAGGCCTGCTCAGTGTATCGGACACATTTTACTCGCTAGCCTCCCTGTGGCTTGTCTGTGTGAGCACCAGAGCATCTGCCTCCTGGCAGGTCTCCCGCCTTTGTCTTTCTTGTAGACATAGTCTCATGGTCTTTTTAAGGTTTGCTAGACCTCTGTTTTTCCTTTTAAAGCACTTTTATATCTAGGCTCTAGGCTGCATTCACGTTTTCCCTCAATCTTTTTTTATCTCGTTCCTCCCTTTCCTCTAACACTGTACTTTCACCTTGCGGCTCTGAGCCCCCCTGCAGAAGGCTCCTCCCCTCCATGTGCCATATAACTGACTTCCAAAGCTGGTGAAATCTGATGCCCCCATTTTTCACATAAAAGATTTGGTTTTAAATGTTACTGTGATGCCAACCTACTAAAACGATGCTTTATTTTGGCTGTAAGGTAAATATGTCTTTTGGCCTTTGTAAAGCTGTTGCATGTGGGGTAATTTCCCTCTGATCATCTGGTGCTCTTGAATACCTGCTGTTGCTGCTTTGTGATTTCTCCATAGGTTAAAGATTAGAATAGAAATAGGAGCAGATTCAAAATCATGCTTGAGTATGCAGAAGTTTGCGAGGCCACAAGAACTCATTAATTACAAAATTAAGAAAGTAATTATTAATCTTTCCAGATTTGCCATGCCAATATTGGCAATAGCCATTAATAAGCTAAACACCTGGTCATGCCTCCACTTGGAGCTGTCTTTCTGGGGAGCTCAGGCCTGCGCGGAGCTATGTGCTTTGAATCTTGACAATCCCTGTTTCTCCTGTAAAACTTGATTTGCCAAATGGAGAGCGAATGTGCATTTCTAGAGTCACTTTAGCATATGAATCAGCAGCACTGCTTTTGATCTTTAGCAATCATGGCAGCTCACTCATATGAAGTTGCTTTTAGCCATCTTAATTTGGAGTGGAGAATATTATCAAAATATTAAGAGCAATTTAAAAATTAGAGGTCTGTGAGAAATTTGTGGGCCTCTTCCAAAATGGTACATGTTGACTGACTAATCTGGAAAAGGTTAATGATAATTATTGTAAGATTTTTTTTACCTGGAATTTTTATTGGATTATCGAACTTATTTGGAGTCCTCTCCGTTTCTTCTCTCTGTAGGTTTACCCAAGAGAATGGTTCTGTTACCCGTTATGAAATTCCCAACATATCCTGTTCCCCACTACTCATTCTTTTAGCAAATGACAGAAGCTAATTCCTATTGAACAACAGTACAGTACAACACAGAATGTTAGAGACAAACCTTTTTATCCCGCTTTCTTTGAACACATACTTGATCAAAATTATTTGTAAAGAACATCTTTCCTACTTTTTGATTTTAACAAATGCAAATTTAGTTCTCTAAAACTTGAAAACAAACAAAAAAAAAAACTAGTTCTGTGAAACGGTACCTCATTTCCGGAAAATAACTTATACCAGCCCTTCTGTTGTAGGGAAATAAGTCTAGCAGTTCAAAGTTTAAGAGGAGTATCAGATTATGTAAAATTAAATTTGTGAAGGATGTATAGAGTCTCAAACACTGATCACAAATAAACTGCTTTGTTGTACCCCAGAGTACTGCCTGGTTCCTGACGCAGCCGCTGGTTGTAGCTGACTGACATGTATCTGCCCCAGGGCACTTAAGTCGGGCTGTAGTTATTTTTTTTTTAATACAATAGAGACTTTTCATTTAACTTTAACTTTGTAAATATTGAAGTGTGTAATTAAAGCCAATAAAATATGGGTTCGAATATTGTTTTAGCTTATTATTTTTTATATGTTTTGGTATAAAATTACAAGGAGTTGAAAACTAATAATAACTTAACCCTAGAAACCCATCCATTTGTAAGCAAACTGCTAAAGTAAAGCCAAGGCTGTTGTGAGTCCAAGCCAGTCTCCTTCCTTTGTGAGCCCTTCGTGCCCTGCTGTACAAGGGCTTCCCCTGATCCGGGGGGTTCTGTTACCCGAGCATTGCTTATCAAAACGATGGCACCACCCAGAGATGGGAAAGGAGGAATGTGATTATTTTAGTTTCCGAATTCCCAAGTTTTAAAAAATAAATTAATCGATCAGTCACCCTCTCGTTCTTGTGGCCTTCTTCTCTGTAAGACACTGTGTTCACTCCCTCGCTTTTTTCATGCAGACAGAACATAGCAAGTTTTCTGGGATTCACTGAAGGGTCTTCCTTTCCTCTTCAATAACATCAGAATCTAAAGCAGCAACAGGGTCCCCATAAAAACTTGCTCTTCGATTGTCCCAGTTCTTGTTGAGTGCTGCTGTGAAAAGTGACAGGTTTCAGCCATGGGTCAGCATTTATTTTTCAGACACCTGGTTCAGCTGGTGACAAATGATGAGTCGGTACCATCGTGCTGTTCTGTAAAGGGTGCAGACCTGAGTCTTCCACTTGCATTCTCACCTTGTTTGGAAAGCCTATGATGTTACTAGAAGGTAATGGTTTCATTAAGGGACTCACCCCCATGAAGGCAACAGTGTGGTCCCATGTCGAGATTTATAAGTTGCTGTGTCTTGAATTAGCTTTCTTCTTCCCTCTAAAATTCTGTTTTTGGGAGCGGAACAGTGCCCTTCAGTGAGAATGGGCCTCACAGAACATGGCAGATTGATGTGCCAGATTCTTTGGGACCACTAAATGAGTGTGAAACGGCAATATAAAGCAAATGTTAGTGCCACTTCTCAGATGTCTATTTATTATCACACAGTGATTTGTTCGTTACTTCTGCTCCTTGACCTTTTGTCTTTGTTAGTGGTGGGTGATTCTTTAATAAAACCTCATCACTTGCTAGAAGTAGCTGTGAATTTACCATTCTCATCCTGTGTATTAGTGGTTAGACCTAAACAGGAGGGCCCATTTCTGCTGGGAGTTTTCATGTTTCATTGATTTGTTTTGCTGACCTATGGATGAAACAGAGCCATCACTGAGAAGAAAAAGCATGGCTGGTAGTGTCCAGATTTTATTAATAAAATATTTACAATAGTCCTCTTTGTTTTTGAAATACTATTAATTGGCAGCTGCAGCTGTATTGTCATTTGAAATTGGTCGTCAAATTTGCATTCCAAGTTGGAATCTCTCTGGAGATTTCTCTTTAGAAAATTCTTTTGAAGTAGCTGACTCAGCTTCATAGCTCAACCCCTGTACAATGGTGAAAAGGGAGCTGTGCTGTTTTCCAACATGATGGCAGTCATTTCAAATGGTTTCTACCAAGTCCTTTTTATTTTTTAATTTTGTTGTTTGTTGGAAGTTACTAACCATGTTGTAAACCTGCCCAGTTGCTGCAAACTTTTACATTTCTCTGCTTTACTTAAAATAATTGAGCTGTCAGTCCTTTGTTAGAAGTGGTAACCATTGCAAGTTCAACTGTTTAAATTTTGTAACGAATTAAGTGTCCCCCCTACCTCCCCCTTTACCCTACCCCCCCTCCATTTTGTAATGAAAATTCCACTTACAGCTGAAAGAGCAGAGAAATATAAATGAAGCTCTTGGCTTCACCAAATTCTGTGAAATTAACATAAAGTTTTGCTTCTCTGCTCTTTTCTCCACTGTAGGTGGTTTTTTCATTGACAGCCCCTATTGCCAGCCTCTGAGCGTCGCACCATTTATTATTCACTTGGGCCCTCAAGATTTCTTCTCTGACTTCTAGAACCATCAGGTTGTCTGGCTTGAAATGGCAATTTCTATGTCTTGGTCTTAAAAGCAATGTGACCCCTGAGGCTTTCCAGCTTTCAGATACACAACTCTGACACCTTCTTTTGGAAAGCAATGACTGAATATTTTAAAGAAGAGCAATACTTTACTCAAAGCCACGGTGTCTGTTCTAAAACTTTTCCTTCGGAAACCTAGCAATATATGTACTCAACCCCTCCTAGTGTATAGTCTCTTGTCAGGGAGTTTACAGACCAATGTAGAACTTAGAATTAGTGTATGAGCTGTGCTGTATCTTCTGACAGTTTTTACACTTTTTTAGCACATAATTGGATAGTTGCATTCCTGACTGTGTCAGTTAGTGCTATTATAGTTTCTCAGAGATAGGGGTCCTCCTTGAAGCCATACTCTTTGCATGGGGGCTGGTGCCCCGCCAGGGTTGTGACCTGCAGCCTGTGTTCCTTCAGGCTCAGGAGCACCCCATCTCCTGTGCAAGGTAATGGTACAGGCAGTTTCCCACATACCTCCCACTGACTCAATGCCATGCACGGTGCTGTGCAGTGTGGAGTCCTGAGGTCGTCTGTAGTCCTCTCAAACTGTTAACCCGGGGACAAAACGTGACAGACTGTCCTGGTATTAACCTTTTTTAAAAATGTGGGTGAATGTCTGAAAATCATGAATCAGTCAGTCACCATTATTAAGTGAAGAGCTGGGAATACCTCGTTAATGTATTTTTAAAACTGGTGTTGGACCCTCTGTGTATTTCAGGTTAATACTTTTAAGCAGTTTTCAGCACGTTTATCTCACTTTATTCTCGTTCTCCTCGGACCTCCGTAGCCATATCACTTGTATAAAATAGGCTGAGATATAGTGACTGTAAGCTGTGCTCTCAGTATACAAAGGTAAGCTCTTTTACTTTCTGATTAAAGAGAAAAGTAATTAAAGTCGATGAACACAACATGCATGCATATATGACAATCATATATGATGTACTTGATCCCTTAGGTCTTATGCCATCACATTACCTTTAAAAATTTGTATGATCTAAATGTAAAATAATTTTTTTCAACATTTGTTTTAATCCCCTTGTTTGATTACTTTCTATTCAAGAGACATTTCACTTTTGCTGAGTTAAGTGTGTGTGTATGTGTGTAGAAACTTAGGATATAGCATATATGTGAATTTCACTCATGTACCTGTTTGAAAGAATTCGGTGGTAGAAAGAGTTCGCCTAGGAAGGTTTAACAGGGCACTCTTTGGGCCAAAGTGCTGGGATTTCATAAGCAGCGAGGTTGGTAACAGTGCTGGCAGGGTGCATTTCTATGTAGCCTGTTACACAGGCGAGATCGAAGTGCCAATTTCTCAAGGAGAGAAACTTCTCTGAGAAATGAAAATCTCTGATCTATGTTGTATGCCCTAATACAACAGCAGCAAGAAGCCATAAAAAAAAGAAAAAAAAAAAAAAAGCAATAGAAAATGAAAAAAAAACACCCAAATATTAAGGTAACTATGGGAAACTATAAAATTTACTGAGTTAAGCTGTTTGCAGAACCAACTTTGGTAGTACTCAAAATGGTAAATGTGCAGTCTACAGAGACCAAATAGACATACAGCAACTCACTTGTCTTTCTAGGTTAGGCAGCTAGATGATTTATTTCCCACCTCATTCAACCATCATGGAGTTTAAGATGTGAGGGTTAGGCCAAATATTTTAATAAGGATTTGCCTAGTTTAGCCCGTTCCATAAATGCATTTCACATGTGTCAGATGTTCTGTGCTAAGGCTGTATTTATATATATAGATTAAAATGAATTTTATGTTTTATATTTGTCTCTGAGGAGCAGTTTTCTTTTTATTACTAACTTGAAGATTTGCTGGAACAACTTTCTTTTCCATACTGAATCTGTATGTACATTGAATGTGGCTTCCGCATCTATAGAAGTTGTATGAGGTCTAGCTGACTAGTACCAAGCACACTCCAGTCCTGATCAAACAGCCAGGTGCCTATTATGTGCCAGGTCCTTTTCTGGGTATCAGCAAAACAGAGGCCTACCCACTGGATCGCTTTAAGCCTGAGAGTCTCGTTGGTGGAATTGGGTCTATTATAGATATCCTAGATTGGGAGGCAAATAGTGCGTTGGCAGTGTCAAAAGATTATTAACTTATTTAATAGTTTATTTATAAATTAATAAGGCCGTCTGACATCACTAAAATGGGCATTCTTTGAAAATTCACTCATTTTAAATATTTCCCTGCCAGTCTGACAGCTCGAAACCAACTCTGGTTTATGTTCATGGACCTCTGTTCAAGTAAGTGAACTGAATGAAATGAATAACAGATACCCCAGTCCTTTTAAAGCAGTTTTTATAATAATAGCAAAGAAGAAACTGGTTAATTCAGATACTGACCAAACTTATTTTTTCTGTATCAAATGAGGGGAATTTTACCCTTCTAATTTTACCCTTCATTATTACTGCCCTATTTCTTAGATCTTATTTATAACTGCAATGAATGTAGATTTTAAGTAGTGAGGTAGGGGAATGAACTAAGGAGACTTCCCCCATCCCATCCCCAGCAGTTAGAATTCTAGCAATCTAGAGCCCTAAAAACCAGGGCCATTAAGAACTGTTAGAACTGAAAACAGCCTGCTCTGTGGATGGTCTTCCTATAACTGCTGTTGAGCTCAAGCCTGTGCCTCCTTGCTGGGGTCGGGGGTGGGGCTGTGGTGGTCAGAACAAAAAAGGTTCTGTTTTATTCAGACTGGTACTGATGCCATGCCACCCAGTGACCATGGATTTCTCAGTGTCACCAGGAGGCCTGGAAGGGAGATGGATGGTAAATGAATGACAACCACAGAGCCAAGAAACTATCTCCCGCGGAGGTGAGTTTCCGTGCCCATGTGTGTGTCTCTAGCGGTTATGTACAGAGCATAGAGCTAGGACTTCTTATATAAGGATGAGTCCCTTCCTTTCCAATAGCATCTTCCAGAAAGACAGTTTTAAGTCAAGAATTCGAGTTGAGCTAGTTGTAAGAATAGATATCCTTTCTCACATTATCATTTTAGGTAGGAGCTAACAGCTTCCATTGATGCTTCGAAGCAGTGATCTTTGGAGATTTTTTAAATAGCACCATAATGCAAATTAGGTTATGTAAGCTCTATAGCACAGCTAGAAATAGGGAATAGAAACCATGTGGGAATCTGGACCAAAGAATTTCTCCCTCTCCAGCGAATTGCCATGGGCTTGGGAATCAGTTGAGTTAATACACTAAAGTGCTTTGAGTAGTACCTGGTACATAGTCAGTACTCAGGAACTGTTGACTGTTCTTCCTAAGGTTGGCTGAGGTCACAAAGTATGTGAGGGGGGCCACAGCTATGCTGGCAGGTAGCTGAGAAGCAGGTGTGCGGCCTACTTGGGGGAACTGCATTGGTTCCTTAGTGCTGACAGGTTTGGGTGCGCCCAGGCTTTGGGAGGGGCCTGTCCTAGCATCTGGGGGTTAGACACGAAACACAAAGCACCCATTTAGTGAGAGTGGGGGAGGTCTGCAGATCTGCGCTGGATGAAAGGCTCACTTTTGTGCTGTGGTGGTGAAATCACTGGCAAGTCTGCTGCCAGGGGCTCATAAATACTTGCTGTGGGATTTAAGTGTGCTTAGAAGGCTAAGCTTAGAATACCAGCCTGCTAGTTCCAAGTTTCCTACCAGCGCATCAGTAAGAAAAGATTGTGGTGATTACCGCCAGCCCCAGAATCCAACATTCAGAGTCACCACTGCCTGGCAGATAGAATGCAAGTTACTACAGAAAAGAAAAGAGAGAGGAGTCCGGGTGGCATGCGTAGAAGACTTTCAACTCAGATGCTTCTCTGAATAGCATTCCTGCAGCTCCTGCCTTCCAGTTTATTTCAACACTTTGGAAGGAAAAAACTCTATACTCATCACTACATAAGGCCTCCTTCTGTTAATTTTAGGAAAAAACCTATCTATCCATCCATCTATCCACTTATCTATCTGCCTAGGCACACTTGGGAAGTTGCTTTTCAGCAAAAGGAAAAATGGGTAGATACCTGAGTAAAGGATATGCGTCTCTCTGTCCATGTCTGGCCAGTCGGCATGAATCTGTGGACTTCAGAAGCCTTTGAGGAAGGGTGAGCAGCTGCGTCTGTCTGCTGGTGGATGCGCTAAGTGGGTTGAGTTCTAGGATGCTCTAAGGTTACAAAAACTGTAGACAAGGACTGGGTGTTACCTTTAAAGGCAAATAAGATAGCTTTACATTCTGTTCAAGAGGCTTTTCCTAAACCCAAGATATTTGTATAATTAATGATTGGATAGAAGTTACTCCTTTCCTCAGCTGTCGCTGTTTGGTGGAATCATTGCCTCCTGGAGTCAAGGTTGAGGGCGAGCCTCTTTTCTGCCTTGACTGGTCATTCATATCTTAATTACTTGCTCCTTCTAAGGAAGCTCTTGGTTTTTCTTGGCAGAACTTTGCCATTTCTATAGACTGCTGCCTCTGCTGGTGGGTAGCATGGAGATGGTCTCCAACCTCTCAGGCAGTTTAAGCAAGTCTGGTTAGCATGTCCTGGCTGGAGATGTATGGTCCTGAATCATCCTTTTTCCTGCAGGATTAGCCTGGCTGCTGTGAGGACAGCCTCTTAGTTCACCCCCTAGGAGCCCAGTCTCTCTGCTTTGTTTCCATTTTTTCTGTCTTGATCCTTTTATATGATTTATATGAAATCTGGTCTCTGCATTCAAATGTCAGCTAAATGTCCCAGGTAATTAACAGTAGACTTTAGGTTAGGTCATTTTGGGCTGTGGGCAGCAGTAGTTTGAAGCAGCAGGAATGGAAAAAAGGAAACAGAGTGAAGGAAGATGCTAAAGTTGGTGTAGAGTAAATCCTTGATTTTTTCAGACCTCAATTTAATGGAAGTCATATTTAACAGACAAAATTTCTGATCCATATGTCATGTGAAAACACCCTGTTAATTTCAAAATGATTTTAAGATTTGCTTTTGATTAAATTAAGGTTTTTGTTGTCGTTCACTGTTATTTTTAACAAATTTTAGAGAATAGGCTATATGTTGGAAAGAGCACTTAGTAATTTCGTTGACATAAATATTATGTATTTACAACTATAGTCCACATATTTAAACCCAAGAGTCACGGCTCATAAACAATGTTTGGCTAATGATTAGCAGGTGATCACACCACATTGCAGGTTCTGACAGGAAGGGTGATATGCAGCAGTGGGGCAGGGCCCAGTGGAGCTGTAAGGCCTGAACAGCTGGCTGGGGCCCTGCAGGGCCTTTTTGAGCTCATAGGCTTAGAAGCTGCTCTAGACTCGGGGCTGGAATGTAGGCTCTGTCTTGACCCCCTTTTAGACGAGATATCCTGGCTAGAAATAGGGCTATTTTCTTTCAGACCAACTGAAAAAGATTATTTAACAAACTAGCAGGACTGGAAGACTAAGGTGTGGCTGTATAAATTGAGGATGCTTTTGTAGCTAATTAATGCTCTGAGTACAATCTGTCTGGCCTGAGGTTGGTGATGGGGATGTCCTAAAAGATTTGAGTCAGACTCTGAAGGGAAGCTGGTGAGGCTTTGTCTCACTGGGGCAAAGGAAAAGGGGCATGCCTGGAAGCAGCCCAGGTTTGAGGTGGAAGTGTAGGGAGGTCCCTGAGCAAGCGCGAAGGGCAGACTGCTGCGGCCTCTTCTGATTGCAGGGGTCTCCCCTGGCTTGGGCTTTGGAGAAGCTGACAGCCTGGGGTCAGGAGGCTTTGCTCTAGGTTGGCCATGCTGTAGGGGCCCTGCTTGGACGGATGGACAGCTGTAGATCTCTGAACGACTGTGTGAGTCACTGTGCTGAACTGGTTTGCTTGCCTGTGCTGCAAACCCCTGCACCAGCTCCTCTGCTGTGACTGCCAACTGGGCCTCTGTCAGGGCTCAGTGGGTGTGGGAATAGATGCAGAATCCTCTTCAGGGGAAGATATTCCTCCCTCACCCCGAGTCACCAGCATCCTTGGCAACTGGCCTTTTTTTCTGAGCCACCTGCCATATCCCAGAGGGGAACGAGAGGAAGGAACTTTCTCTTAAACCCAGGTCGTATCAGGCCTAGAGCAGGGACCTGTGTGGGAAGGAGACTGAGAGCCTGGCAGTGTAGAGGACAACTCAGCAGAACCCTCTGTAGTCACCCCTGCCTTCCCTGCTCTGCCTGTCAGACCTGGAGAAGGAGCAGTACACAGGGTTATTCCCATTGCACAGAAGGAAACGGAGTCCCGGAGACCCCGAACCACCCAGCTTGTTTGTGGCTCCAAATGAGTTTTTAACGACATAGAAGAAATGTTATTTCTTCTATTTTTTAGAGTTAACAGAGGCACTTTCTTAGGGATGAGATTGAGCTCCACCAGGTTATGGGATCTAGAAATCTCCTTTTACAGATGAGGAAGTGGAGGCTTAGACAAAATAACTTGTCCCAAATTATCCAGCTGGTAAGTGGCTGGGCCCTCCCATTGTGGTGGTTCTGTGCTCAATACTATGGCATATTACTGGTCTAGACTGCAGCCTGTCCTGACTCTCGGGGCCCTCAGCAAGTCTCCTCTCCCAGGATGTATTCTTACCTTTCTTGGTTTGAAACAAGCAAAAAGCAACTTGCCTCCACCCCCCCCCATGGGGAAAAAAAAAAACCCAGACGTCAGGCTCAGTTGTTTGTTCGCTTGCCCCAAGGCCGAGCAGCCTATGTGGTTTTGCTGGGTTTTTTGGTACCAGCCACACAGTTGGGTCTATTTCCATGGACCGTCTTTCTGTACTGTGAGCCCTACAATAAAGTACAAACT